CAGCCATACATGTTTTGCTGGGATACCAAATTCAGACAAAGTGGCAGCTCCTATTAGTGCTGTGGAAGCTGCTTTGGAACTGACAAAGTGTGTGTCGATGCTCTTCTCGCGTGTCTTTTCCAAGAGTTTGCGCATGGTGGATATCCCAAGTCTTAGGCAACCAGACAAGGTCGAATCAGTTTGTTGATACACAATCACACGGTAATTTGAGACAAATTTTGAGGGTCTCCGTTTAATCACATTTTTGAAAGAAGTAGATGCACGGATCTTATCAACTCTTTGACTCCCATCCTTCTAAAGCGAGTTCTTTTTTCAATTTGTCCTGGGCTCCTTGACGTTTCTCCAAGGGTAGGAAGGTATCTATAATTTTTCTAAACATCCTCCCTGCGGCAGATGGATTTTTATGCGGCCTTTTTATTTCACATCAGTAGTACAAGTACTAAGGGCTTGACATTCCTTGCTGAGGACCGATTGGATTTAAGAAAAACATTTTTCTATACTTTGGTTGTTGGTCGCGAGAGAATTTGTACTCATTACCCTCAGCTTTCTACTGAAGGAGTTATATATGCGGCACTTTCTTACCACTGAATCAATTTTCTGTTTGAGCTCCTTCTTGAATTTGTGATGTGTGTCTTGATGTTTCTCCTATAAATGGAGCGACCTACGATTTCTATACTAGGCCGCCTCCGACTTAAGGAGCTTTGATTCTATGACGGAAATACCCTTTGAGGGCTTCACATTCCTAAGGGTTTCTATAATTTTTGGATCTTGCTTGTACCAGGACTCAAAACCTGGCCTTCCATTCGGCAGTCTTGTACTACTAACCACTCGACAATTGCGGTTGCACTTTATTGGCTAAAAAGCGGTATCATTCTCGCCCCACAGTGTCACTGCCGCCGTCACTAGAATCTTCTGTTTTGTTTTTCTTCTATTTTTTTGCCCTCTGCAAGCTTGGGTGTTTGCTTGCGGGCTGGCGGGTTATCTGCTGCGTATCGATAACTCATTTGTACGTGTCGCATTTAAGTAGTAACTCAAATATTTATCAAGTTCTCCACAAAACTCATGCGCAGCCATACATACAAGAGTACAAGTACATGCGTATTGCATGCACGAGAAGGCAACAACAAATGCTTAAGCACCACACTCCATTTGGGATCGATGTACGATACTTTCAGTGCCAGAGAGATATTGAATTTCAAAGATACAAAAATTTCCTATAAGAAAACTCAAGAATAAGAAGAAGATACAGTAGTAAATGAAGAAATTAACAACTTCATTTAGTGTTGTTATTATTGGTGTTCTACATACATACATAAATACATCTGCCAAAGAATTTTTATTTGAAGAAAATTCCAATTTTTTTTTACTTCTTGATTGGCTACACCGCCTGGGGCATGTCGTGAAAGTGTGACACTGTCATTGCGTATTATTTGTTTACGATATTCGTATAAATATGTACACATCTACATACATACATAATAATTTCTTCTTTAAACAACTGCGTGCGAACATAACCTATTTTTTTTTTTCTTTTTTGTTTTCTCTTTATTTTTTTTTTGGTTGTCGCCTGCGCATCGCTTGAGCATCACCCAATTAAACCGCGTGCTAACACTTGTATTTACAGTTAATGTTTACGTCATTAAGATACTCAAGATATGCAGTTTCAAAATACATAGTTATTAGAGCGCCGATGAGCTGATGTGGTTTGGTTTGTGAGCTGAGAAATCGTTAAGTGGCATCTAATGAGCTGCGGCTAATTTATTTGTTTTGGATATACGAGTGTGTATACGTATGTATGGGTGTGTGCGTTTAGCCAAAATTATTCATTAGATTCGATATTAAATTTCCTGGGCCAAAGGCACTATACTGTCATACATACAAACATACATATTTAATAGTAGTTACAACGTTATGCACATGTCTTGATAATGCGAGTAATTAAAGTAAGGAGACGGAGGTGCAAAGATTACGATAAAAATTAAATAAAATAAAATTTAAATATTGAGTTTTATTTAGTTTTTTTTTTTAAATTTTTAATTTCTCAATCAGTTTTTACATCAACCCTTCAGTTTATATTTATTTTTACTTCTTATCTGGTACCTCATTCATTCGCTCAAAATTAATCTTATGCATAAGCCATTTTAATAAGGCGGAGCTTGATATTTGTATATATAATAATATTTTTAAATTTTTTTATCTGTTGAAAATTAAAACAGGTTACAACCCGTTTTTTAAATATTTTTTAAGCTTCTACAAAAATTTTGGTTTTTATACCCATATTGCTGAAACTCAAGTTTTAATTGTTTGAACAAAAAATTTCGAGCAGGTGGCAGCGCATCTAATAAGAAATTTTATTTTTATTATTTAAAAAAATGCAATTTAACCTTTTGACTGTACATACATATATTGCCCGAAATGTCGATAAAATAAACTTAGATTTTTTTCATTATTTTACCCGTTGAATATAAATCAAATCAGGTGGCAACACTTTTTTGAGAAATATTTCTCACTTAAGCCTTTTCAAAAATCTTTGTTTGGCTAACCGTATTGCTATAAATCATTCTTTAATTGTTTGATAACAAATTCGATTTCAAACAGGTGGCAGCGCATCTCATAAGAAATTTTATTTGTATTTTATAAAAAAAACTTCGATTTAACTTTTGAATATATACACATTTTGCCCGTAATGTCGATAAAATAAACTTACATTTTTTTCATTATTTTACCCGTTGAATATAAATCAAATCAGGTGGCAACACTTTTTTGATAAATATTTCTCACTTGAGCCTTTTCAAAAATCTTTGTTTTTATAACCGTATTGCCGGGAATCATTCTTTAATTGTTTGATAACAAATTCGATTTCAAACAGGTGGCCACGCAGCTCGTTTTTATTATTCAAAAAAAAAACTGCAATTTAGCATTTGACATGTACACATATTGCCCGTAATGTCGATAAAATAAACTTACATTTTTTCATTATTTTACCCGTTGAATATAAATCAAACCAGGTGGCAACACTTTTTTGAAAAATATTTCTCACTTAAGCCTTTTCAAAAATCTTTGTTTTTATACCCCTATTGCCGGCAATCATTCTTTAATTGTTTGATAGCAAATTCAATTTCAAACAGGTGGCAGCGCATCTCATAAAAAATTTTATTTGTATTTTATAAAAAAAACTTCGATTTAACTTCTTAATATGTACACATATTGACCGTAATGTCGATAAAATAAATTCACAGTTTTTTGATTATTTTATCCGTTGTATATAAATCAAATTAGGTGGCAACATTTTTTGCGAAATATTTCTGACTTAAGCCTTTTAAAAAATCTTTGTTTGGCTAACGGTATTGCCATAAATCATTCTTTAGTTGTTTGAACACAAATTCGATTCCAAACAGGTGGCAGCATTTCTTTTAAGAAATTTTATTTTCATTATTAAAAAAAAACTTTGTTTATATCTTTTATTACATGTAAAACTGCTTGAAATTATGATAAAAGAGAATACATTTGCTTGTAATATATCTCCGTTTTACAATTTGAATATAAATATTTTTGCAAGAAAAATCAAACTTGTGGCAAGTCCGTAAAAAAATATTTCACTCAAAAGTCTCGTTTAATTCTATTCAAAATCATTTACATATTATTTAATGAAATTAATAAAGAGCAGAGGGTAAGCTTTTTTAAGAAAAAGTTTCTTTTAAACATATTTGCTGTAATACCCCTTATTGTAATAAATTGATTATTTCATTTTTATTTTATTAAAATTCTAATATAAAATATAACTGGTACTTTATTTTCAAAACAATTCATCATAAAATTCTTTAATCTACTATCATTTCTATTGACTTAACCTACTGAAGCAGATGGCAATCTCAGTATAGCTTTCTCTAGCTTAAAGATGCTCTAAATACCACCGAGCAGGACAGACTATTTTTCTACAATCATTGGATTGTGCTATTGCGCTATAAAAGAGAAACTCATCGAGATTGTTTTCACGAAGACAAATTTTCATTTTTTTAAAAGAAATGTAACAGTCTTATGAGTTCAACTGCATAAAACAAACTTAGATTTGTTCGGGTTTTTGCTTCCAAGAAGTATTTAAGAAACTACCTTGAGTTCTGTGAAGTTCTCGAGATAATGTAGCTAACGATACACAGACAGTTTTCAACAAAAAGCTGATTTTAAACATACTCTGCACGAATTCACATTTAAATTCGGGACACATATCGGACGGAGTATTTGTCAGTCAGTTTACAATTCATAATTAGAGCCTCTGCCTACTGATGGCGTAATACTAAGTTGATAATTTAAGAACTCAGTAAGGTAGAGGAGTAGTTAGAACTCTACGAAAAGTATAAGAGAATTTAGGCCAAAGTTCATTAAAACACATTCTGCTAAAAGCTGCCCGCTGATTTTTGATAAAAGGTGTATAGTAGTTCTTTTTGTGATTAAGATGGCCATAACTGCCTTCGCGACTGACATTGAGTTTGAGCGCGATCTGTCCTTAAGTTTGTTTTCAGTGTTCAATGTTTGAGTATTCTTCAAACAGACAATCGTTTGAAGGTTGCAGAAGATATGTCCAACGTAAATTTCAATACAGCTGAAGACATGTATTTAGGAGTTTGATAAACAAGCACGAAGAACGAAGCTTGGTTGTGTCGTCGGGTTGACGGGTTTATTTGAATATCACTTTTTTTTATTCAAAGGAGGTTAGATGATAGAGAATATTATGCGCGCGTTATGAGGCGACTAAGAGCCAGTTCGTCGAAAGGCGACCAAAGTTTTGGATGGAAAACTCATAGATTTTACAACATGTAACGCTCCATCCCACAAGGCTATCTTTGTGAGCGAGTCTTCCGTTGTAAAACTTTGTTTTTTTAACCTCTGCATTCCACTGCCCATAATTCATAGAAATACACTGTTAAAAGTGTACCGTTGTTACGGTATGATGAATGATTTTACGTGCTAAAAATGGTTTAAATTCTTTGTTCAATACTCACAAAAACGCGCTTTCCACTCAAATGAATTTGTAGTCACAAAAAGTGCTGCCCATAAACATAATAATTTAAACAAAATTTTTTGATATTTCGAACTGTCATTTTCTTGAAGCCCATCACTGGATTACGCACAAGCATTCAGAACTCACCTGCAATGAAAAAAGAGTATAAGGAAAATGTGAATTTATAGATTATTTTATTATCTATGCAAAGAATATGTTTTGTAGGAGACAAGAAACCCAAAAAAAAAAAAAACAAGAAAAAATTTAAATAAAAAACTACCAAAAAAAAAATAAGAAAAACAAAACACAAATTACAAATACACAATCAATAAGCGTCGAAATATTTTGAAGTAGAACAAAAAAAAAATGTCAACTACACAGCAGAAGAATCACTTCATTTGAAATTCCAGTCAGCCGTGTGTGCAACGAGCAACCGAAACCACCGAAAACAAAAAAAAAAAATTAAAAATATTAAAAAAAGTAGAAGCAAAGAAGAGTAAAAAAAATCGAACTGTACAACTGTACTAACGAATAAATCATTGCGGTGATTGGAAAATGAATTTAAAAAAAGAAAAGAAAGAAATCGAAAGAAAAAACACACACTAAAATCAAAGCATACCTGGGAATTGTAAATCACGTAGAGCATGTGAGATAAAAATCTCTGAATAATTGTGAACGCATAGGAACTTAAGCTTTGTTGGTTAGGCAGTTTGGGGGAAGGAAAAAACATGTAATCGTTAAGGGTGTTTCTTTTAGATATATATTATTCCTCTTTGAGAGCTGTTACTTGAATTATTCCCGGCAAACAACTCTTTATGAAGAGACTTCGACACAACATTTGCAAATCGTACAAATTTATTATCAAAATAATGATTCGGTTCGCCTTCCCTCCAATATTCGATCGACATAATCGTTCTCCAGAGCAGTGTTGGTGATTCGAGCAACCACGGTACGATTTCACCGTAAACATGGTGGATGATATTGCGTCTCCTCAGCGATGAAGAAGCTTTTTCTGCTGTGGAGCAGTGTATTGAAGAAGACCCAAATGAGTCCATCCACCAACGCGTGCGACAATCCACTTTCTGGAAACTTTTGCAGCAAACTCTTGGTATGCGGTCTTACAAATTCCAACTCGTGCAGGGGTTGAAGCTTAACGACCATCAAGCGCTTTGCACGTTCAGTGCATGGATCCCAACCGAGATGGTCACCGTAACCGGTTTTTACAGGAATATTTTGTTCAGCAATAAAGCTCACTTTTGGTGGGATGGCCACGTTAATACAAAATTGTCGCATTTGTGTTGGTGATAATCCAAAAGTTATTGTTGAAACGCCATAGCATCCTAAAAAAAAAAGTCACTTTTTGGTGAGCTCTAAGGGCAGGGGTAATCATTTTCTTATATTACTCTAAAAAATAAGCCCGCCATAATGTTACAGTCAGTGGCGAACCCTATAGAGCCTTGAGCCGCGATAACTACCCTTTTCGTGTCTGAATTGGAAGCTGTTGATGTGGTTGATCTTGGGCTCTTACGAGACGGTACTACATGTCATGCAGCCAACGAAACAATCAATTTGGGGATGGATGGGATGGGGCGTTGAATTCGCTTAACTACGCAGTTAGTATATATGTAAATATGGAAGAGAATATTCTTTGGGTTATTGCTGATAAACGGCCTCAATTGCTGTCAGACGTGTTAGAAAAATGGACTTCCCGGCTATAGTTTTTTCGAGCTAGCCGCGATGGTGCTCGAAATCGTTTTTAAACGAATGGCAAACTTATATCATAATAATAAAGATGCATTTTTTATATCCCGTAGAAAGCCACATGCCTAAAAACACCCTTTATATAGTAGCTTGTGAGTCTATTTTCGGCAGCAGTAGTAGTACAGCTTCAAGCAGCGTTTTGGTGTCGGTGGCGGCAGTAGTTAAGCTCTGGCGGCTGGCAAAATGTCAATCACTCCACAAAATGATAGACGACCCCGTCAGTGTACTGACAGTGGCACTCGTGGCCACACTTCTACAATTTTTTTGCAGTTTTGTACTTTTTTTTTTTGCTTGACCTGCCGTAGTACACTTTTGGCTTTGATTGTTGCCACTTTATTTTGCTACTCGTGGATTGATTTCTCCTACCTTCTCCGCCCTCGAGGCGTCATACATTTAGTCTAATTGCGCATAGCGTTTGGCTTTTCAATTTTCCAAACAATTGCGCTTTCTTTTTTTTTCGCATCGCCAGGAAAATGATTCGAATGTGTGCCGGTAAATGGAGCGCGTGAGAGAGAGTCATTTTAAGTATAAAGAATGTTTCCAAATGTTCTGTTGAGGTTGGTAGCTTGTGATTTTGTTGGTATGCGTGTGAAACGTATTAGAGAATGGAGAGAAAGGAAGGGAGGGACGGAAATACGCTGGTTTATCAGCACATCGAGCTCAAGAGTGGACTGATGAAAGGGCGGTTTTCAACGCCTCAGAAAAAATTAAAAAAAAAATACCTGCCAGCAGTTTCAGCTGTTCAGCATGGAGATCCCGGAAGACGTGAGGCTTTCCGAGGCCGCATTCAAAAATATGTATATATATATATTTCGTCTACTTAAACTTTTTATCTTCTACAGAGCAGACATGACCCCAAGGCAGTTCCAGTAGTTCAAAGAGAATGGAAGAAACTGTTAAACCTTTAAGAAGCTTAAAGTTCAGTATAGTATCAAGGAAACCCCAGCTAGGCTAGCTTCAATTCTGTAAGAGTTTTGTAATAAACTTTTTCAGTTATTGCCAACGCCCATAAGCTCCGACTCTGGCCAAAATATGGGAGATCATTTAGAGAATAGTTGCCACAAATAGCAACAATCTAAGCAGAGACCACACGCTGCATAAAGCTATAGTGAAGACATCCAAAAATCCAGAACTGACAACTGGGAGCCAGACGTTGCGGATCCGACTCAGCATGAGCCGGAAACGAATAGGCATCAAAATATCTGAAGACTTCGAAAGGGTCGGAGTTTACAAAGCCACGAGTGAGCAACACCAGACAGGGATTGAAGTAACAAATTTACACAGTACTGAGACCTCAGAACGCTTAGAACTGTACGGCACAAGCAAATTTATTACTTACTGAGACATGTTCAAACTGTTGTTAACAGAACGGAACAAACTAGAGACTCCCTACCAAACCAAAGGAAATGAAGTTAAGTCACTTTAGGCTACGGAAGCCAAAAGCGATTCATATTAAGTCCACTTAAACCATATTCGTAGCTGTCCTTATCGAAATTCGAAGTTCTCATTGGATGTCGTAGTAATATTTTCATTGGAGCTGATTTCTAAAAGCGTGACGGATCTAAATGCATGCACACAACCTCGCCGTCACCCAACCGCTCCCGTCCTGACTGAGATCCGCTCATAGTGTCAACTCTGTCTATTAGACGCTGTACCTAGACTTCGGCGTATCCTTAAATCAATTATATCACAGTGACTTCACGAAAACTTAGTCTCTTTTAGCCGTGACTCATGGCTACACAAGGGTAGGGTTGCTCACGCTGCCAGAATGCGCAACATGAAAGCGTGACTGCATACCCAGAAGCATGAGTTCACCGCCTACAATTGAGGAAGCAGTGTCCACGCCACAGTAGAAGAAACCATATTTGGCACAAATAGACTAGTATCCAGTAGGTAAGAACAAGACCTAACAAGACGCGCCAAAAGCAATCAAGACGAACCTGAATAAAGCTCAAGTCGTCGAACATTTGGATTATTGACCGAAAACCGTGGTTTTCAAGGCCCCCCGCCACCTCCTCCCACTATAGGCTTAACATGTCGGAAATAATGGGCAAATGCCGGTGAATAGAAGAAAAATTGAAAAGCCAACAGCTTGGCGGACATCGGTAGAATGTTAACGATGACAATACAACAATAACAGCAACAGCAACAGCAACAACATAAATAAAAATGCGCTCGCACTACCAACGTATGCTTTACGGTCTTATCACAAAACGATTGCCATCAATCAGCTAGCCAACCATTACAACAACAAGAACAACAACAAACAACAATAAACAGCACATCGTTACAATAGTTGATCTTGGCAATTGTTATTATTTGCAGTTGTTACAGCAGAGAGCTGGTGAGTTAAGCGATTCCATTTAAACGTGACTTCCGCGAAATGGGCTCGATGGCCAGCTTGTCATCAGCCCCTCTGTCTCTGTCTTTAGTCTAGTTGTAGTAGTGACTCGAGTCGGCTGACGGCTGAATTGTTGAATGAAATGTGCGCAACGCAATTTACATACTTCGGACATCTTGGTCCGAACTCCGCTGTACTCCGGGCTTACTTTCGCTGCCTGTTGGCCACGTACTGGCGCGCTGATGACAGGCGTTGATGCTTAACTAGCGTTGGTACGCGTTCGAAAACATTCGTTGAAGGGGAATGCACTGGCACATCGTTGAGTCTGGACACATTGTTTCGGTCAAAAAGATTACAACAAAAGGTAGCTCGCTTTACAGCCCGTTGGCTATAAGGCAATAACAATAACAATAATAGTAACAATACAGCACTAGCGACGCCATCAACATCAACACCAACAACGACATCGATTGGAACATGCACAGCCAACAACAGCAATGGGTATTGAAAATATTACCCATCATCATCGCACTCATCGGCGGCAAAGCCGACAATATCAGCAACGCCATCAGCAGCAATATTGGCGAGAAAGAAACAAATTTGCGTGGCTAGCAGACAGTCCGTTGGATAGTGTCTTTTTGGCGACTATTAAGTGAGTTTAAATTTTATCATTGTAAAACGCCCTCCGAAGAACTCGAGATTCTGTAAAATATCGCGTGGCGTGGAAAAATCGCCCAGAAATACCACAAGAAATGACAAGGGACGACCGGAAGAGGCCAACCCGAACCAGATAGGACAGAAACATGCCAGAACAAAGATCTACGATGGCAAATGAAGCAAACATTGAGCAGATGTACTTTATCTAGAGAGAAGAGATCCCTCGGAGTCCGATGAGAACGGGTGAGATCAACACAAATTGGATGAGACCGTATATTACCGGTAAAGACAATATTAAATCCAGGCTAAATCCGATACCGCGACAAGCTCAGAAGACCAAACCAAAGTCGAAAACGGAAAATAAGATCGACACATAAAAAAATTAACACAAAAAATTAAATCGCAATAATTTGAAAAGGACCAAATACATCCGCCGAGAACAAAAAAGGCCGGACAAGATAATATCAAGCCAGATGAGAGACAATCCATGATTATTATAGACTCGGAAGAACCTAACCCATATAAAAGGGTTTTAAACTGGACTAAACAAGTCCAAACTAACGGACGAGATCGTATGGGCTTAAACTAAATAATACCGTCCACACACACTCGGCGAGCATGACACTACCTTGGCTGGTAAACACCTTAACCCACCGATCAACACCTCACACATCTAACAGACCTTAAAACTTGACAGCAACATCAAATCGCAATTGTTCAAGGTAACCCAACCAGAAACCAACAAACCAAACCATTACTCAGCCACATAGATCTTAGTGAATCGGACCACCTGCGGAACCAAACTACTTCAA